ATATTTGACTACACTCCACGAATTCTGATGTTGCTCGCTAAAATAAGATTCTTTTCTTGACTATCACATCTTTTCTTGTATATCACATTTATGTTGTACGAAAAGTTGCAATGGTTTTTCTTATTCTTTTCTGTTTTCCTTTCTCATCTTCTCATCACAAGATCGGTCATTTTAAATTTCAAAAAAATCAATCGGATGTATGAACTACAGTGCGATATCTACTCTTTCAAGAGTAGACGGTAAATATGTAGCTGAGTCTGCGTTACCAGGAGAAGAATGAATGCGGCCCATAAGAATTTTTCGCGATCGCTTTTCCGCTCCGTATCAGAGAGAAGAATGAGAGCTGTCACGGCCGTAAGAAAATGTGTAATCGCTTTTCGCGAACATGGTACTACGTCGATGATTTCATAGCACGAAATAGAACCATGTCCACAAAAAGCGATCGTAAAAACTCTTACGGGCCTGGCCGCTCTCATTCTCTCTACTGAAAGTCATATGGTTTCATGAAAAAGTTTCAGACACTCTTTTTATATTACACTTTTAATTTATAATTGTGTACACAGATGCATTCAAAATCGCAAAAGTCGAATCAGACAAAATTCATTCATTGTCATCAATCATCGTATCATTTCTTTAGTAAACAAAAAATTTCCATAATTTTTTCAACTACTTTCGCCACATACGATCGCGCGAAGATGAACTTTTAAATCGTTTATTTTGGAAATTAAATATCTAACATAACGATGTTCACAAAACAAATATTGTTTTGTAACTGAAACAAATCTTAAACTGTGGTCCACAGAAGATTTTTCAGAAGAAATAATCAACTCTCTTTAACTATAACGCCAATTTATTTATGAATCGACCCGATATAATATAAATTTTTGTTTCTTAAATTTGATCAATTGCCAAAAGTTGTAATTTACGATTTTTTACACGCGCAAAATTTTAAACGTTATCGCACGATATTTCCAAAGAAAGCATCTCTCATGAATCATGTTCACGTCGCTTTACCATCTGTATCTATATAATGGGATACTTACGTACATCGTTCTCTTCACGCGCACATAGTTTAATTATATAAGTGATTAATCATCAATGTCTACAACTGCGTAAACATTCGTTTATATATAAATATATATTAAAGAGTAGTGAAAAAACGCGTGGTGTTGAAGTTTTGAAATCGTAATCGACGACGGTGTGCGAGATGTTCCGACTTGCATCGATTCTTGTCTTCGTCGCCGTTAGCGGTGAGCACATATAGTTTGTAAACTATAATAACAATTGCTTCGATATCAAAATCATAAAAAAAACTAAAAAAAAAAAATATTTCTTGCCAGTTGTCAGTGCCCAGACAACGCTAAACGACGCCGATGTTGATATCAGCGATCATCCGTACGTTGTGTCAATTACGAGAAGAGGCAAACACGTGTGTTCGGGCGCTATAATAGATGCGTACAACATCGTCACGTCGGATCGGTGCGTTCCGCCGTTCAAACACGTATGGAACATAATGAACGATATAGTTGTGGTCAGCGGCACGAGCAGCATCAAACCCGGCGGCGGCGTTCGCATCTTCGCCAAAGAAATGTTCTCACAGAATCATCAGAATCACGAGAATCCGAATGAGAATCACGTCTCGAGCGGTCTTGGTCTAATCAAGGTAGATTCATCATTTTCTTATCGTGAGTTTAGTGCATATGCGTATATTTTTGCGGAACAAACTAAATCGGTTGTGTGTGAGAGAGAAGACGAGTTTTTCTCTCACTTCACTCCAAGTACTTGTAAACCGTCAACAGTTGAGTAATACCCGCACCGATTTATTCGCACGTGGCGTTGCTACGCGTAGTGCGTGGCAATAATTCTGTTTAACGAGCCAAAGCTTTTCCCGCAGCTCGTGCAAGCTCTTAAATTTGGAGATAAAGTGCAGCCAATTCCAATCTCCGAAGCGGAAGTACCGGTTGGAGAGAAACTGCAGATGGTCGGATGGATGATTTCCAATCATCAAGGAAACAAGACTTCGAATCTGAAGGAAGTCGCGGTAGAAACGATAAGCTCCGAGGATTGTCAGTCGTTTTACGACAAAACTCTAAGCAATGCTGAATTCTGCACACTCCCGGTACCAGAAAACAATCTCTGCGAAGTAAGTGATTATATTAAAGAAATATCGAGAGAAAACATAGCTCCAAACATAAACTCGGATAAACTAAATCTCGCTGCATTAAAATTACATACATAAGATCTGGTTACGATGTATTTTATATAAATATATGCGTGATTGTGTGTTGATCATATCGCGTGTAATCATTATTTTTTTATCTTGATTTAGGGCGACAGCGGCAGTCCTCTGATTTACGACGGCAAACTCGTCGGTTTGGCTACTTACGGAATTTCGTGCGAAGATATTTCGATCCCGGACGTTCATACAGCAGTGAACAAGAATCTCGAATTTCTTCTCGGCGAAAAAAATATCATGTAATCAGACAAAATTAGTTTCATCTTAATTATGTGTAAGCGTATATTCGCGCATATATATTATATCGGTAAATCTAAATACAAAGTCCAAATTCAGCATCTGAATGACGAATTTATGTATATGTTTTTGAAACCCGAAGAAGTATTTAAATACAAATGTGCGTAAATCTCTTTTCTCACAAAACAAAAGTTAAGTTTTGTGTGTGTTTCAGAGAATAACGTATTTATAGAAATATACAATTGAACTTTGAACTGAAAACGTTACCAAGTTCACGCGCAATAAGATCGTTTCGAATTTAAGAGACAGAGTCGATTTTATTCACGGTTGTTTCGTTCGCAGACAGACAGTTAATTTCCTTATAACGAGGGTTTATCCCCTTCACACGGAGCGAGGTGTTTAGATGTATATAAGCATCACGTCTGTATTGTGTGTTACGAAACACGTGCATTATTAAACACGGCCGTGTTGCATTCGCTTGTACGTACAGCTGCGCGTCCGAAGTTTTCGAAGTTTTTTTGCGCGCGTAGTTATCCTCAATTATAGGTGTTGAAAATAGAGCGGGTAACTATGACTTTTCCTTTTTTTGAAAAAAAAAAAAAAAGAGAGAAAGTTAGTCTCCCCGCAAACTCCCATGAACGGTGTTGCGTTAGCTTTCGACTTGTTCGGTTTTTTCATCGCTCTTATTGACCTGTTACATCAGAAAAATCGTTCAGTTTCTTTCCAGCCGTCATCGAATATGAACGTTTCACGCTCAGAATGTGCTGGTATACTTTTACAATTATTTTATCGAGAGACATTCATTTTGATATTATTTTATATAAATTATTATACACACAAGCAGATTACGAATGGGCAATTAAATTAAATCGACTCAGTTTGACAATGATGGGGTTTTGGCCTGAAAATAATACAACCAAACAACAAAGAACGTTGTTGAACATACGTACAACGATTATGCTAAATGTAATGATTTGGAGTAGTTTGGTTCCGGCCGTGCATTCGCTCCTTAAGATCTGGGGTAAAGACGTCATGTCGGTGATCGACAACCTGCAATACATTTTGCCATTTGTGATAGCGCTTATGAAGATTTACGTTATATGGCGGAAACAAAGCGGTACGGAGCACGTGCACATATTGTCTATATTTGTTTTTGCAAAACAAATTTATTTATCTTCAATCATAGTTTTATTGCTCGCCGTAGAGATTTTATCGCTTTTGCACATGATCAAAAAGGACTGGTCGCAACCGAAGACGTTAAAAGAGCGGAACGTGATGATGAGGCGAGCGCGAATTGCGCGTATATTTACAATATTTGGACATCTCATAATGATTGCGTCTTTTGGCTTGGCTGCGGGTCTTCCTGTTTTCGGCATTTCAATAAGATACAGGACAAACATAACGGATCCGTACAAACTGATGCCGCTGCAAACGTACTGTAGCTTCTACGATCAAAATAAGAGTCCATTTTACGAGATAACGTATTTTATGCAGAGTGTCAGCTTGGCGATAGCCGGTATCGTGTACACCAGCACTGACGGTTTCTTGGGTTTGCTTGTTTTTCACGTATGCGGTCAGCTGGAAAATCTCAAGGCCCGTGTTATCGATGTCAAGAAGTTTCGAGATTTCGAAAGCGCCTTGTTACTTAACGTGCGGGATCATGTACGTCTTATCAGGTTATATTACATTATATTATATTATTACAATATTATTACATTACATTGTATTATTGACAAACTTGACAAACGCTCTGAGAAATATTGTACTTACACTTTAAAATTAAAAAAATGAATCCGTCTCTCTCCAAACGCACATGCTAATGATGCAAACAACTTTATTAAATTATTAAATCGTGCGCTCTCTTTCACATATCGTCGAATATGTGACAAAAAATGCAAAAAGTGTCGGATTTTTCATCCACACTTTGCATTTTGTATATTTATGTAAAAAAAAATTTTTACACCTGATGTGCAAATCTATCGATATTATTAACGATATATTTAACTTGATGCTACTTGGAGTGCTCTTCGAGTTTGGTTTACTATTCGCCTTTTATGGATTTTTCTTCGGTAATGTAAGTTTTTTTTGTTTCCTGATTTTTCTCAGTGTGAACTTTATTGTTCTCAACATCATATATTTTCACTCACACACATGTTTAATTTATTATCAGATGATACATCAACTTCAGGATTTTTCACTGCCACGTTTAACTTTCATTGTTACGGTGTTCATCAATACATTTGCGCATACCTGTTTCTACTGCGTTGTTGGAGAAATTCTGGTTACACAAGTAAACATATATTTATATATATGTGTATGTACGTGTATATGTTGCATTATTGTTCGCTTTATCTCTCTCTTATCATGCAAATATAAAAGTATTCTCGAATGCGCATTATGAATTGAAGTATAATTGAGATGTTTGTTTTAAACCGATATATTTCTTATCGCGCTCAACATCTCTCATTTATCGCATGCAATTGTCGACCGTCAAGTGCGAAGAAGTTTACAGAGCCGCGTGTGAGTACAAGTGGTACAAACTGAAACCGAGAAATGCTAGATGTCTTATGATCATAATGATACAATCAAACAAACCACTGCACCTTACCGCAGGGAAAATTTTTCCCATGACAATGGCTACACTTTGCAACGTAAGTCGATTACAATACGTCACAAGTACGGTTCTTATGCTGATTTAATCATTTTTGTATACATTTTATTTTTAAGTACGACGTATGCGGAGTAAAGAAAAACCAATATACTTACGTCATTTGATTAACTCTTTTTTTAAGCAACTTTCTATTAAGCACAATATTATTTCTGTTTTCAGCTGTTAAAAACGTCGGCCGGTTATGTATCCGTTTTGCTAGCACGAGGATAAAACTAGAAATAAAACCCGACAATCTTATGTTTGTTTTTTCTAATGTGGAAGAGAGAGAGACATAACAAAATTATATGTTGTACAATGAACATATTTATAATTCTAAAAATCATTTGCAATCTCTTTTGTTCTCATATGCGTTTTAACATTTATTATTTGTGTCCGATAGATAAAATATTTTTGTTTTTTGAAAAATATATAATAAACATAACAACTACGATAATTTGCACTCTTAAACATAGATACACGTGTTGATGATCGCGTACAACTAGATGTAAACAATTTTTGCACTTTTCTTGAAAGTGTAACTTTACTAAAACCAGAAAAAAAAAATAAAAGTTCTCTAGAAATTTCATCCCTGAAAAAACTTTCGTCACAGCGTATACGTGATGCGTAACTCGCAATTTCTTCTCAGCGAAGTAGCGGAATCAATAAATTTTTTTTTCACCCAAAGGGTGAGGTATAAGCGTTAGTTACTGTGATGGTCTTGTTACGGGCACTTGCATTATTAATATGCGACGCGCGTGTATCTGCGAAGTAGCGCCTTATGGTAAAGTTTCGTTACACGCAACGAACTATCACCCCAAACGAGAAAATATAGAAAACGAGAGGGAGACTTCAGTTCTTTCGCAGACGCCGTTATGGACGTTTCAAAGCACTCGGCGTATACAGGTGCTCGGTCATCTTCAGTTCGATTAGATAGAATTTTCAATATACACCACCACGTAATCTATTTGCTCACATATTTGCAGAGTGTGAATCATTTCTAAACAATGTTTAATATTTATTAACGACACAATAACTGGTGTGATTTTTTTTAATAAAATGTTTCAAAATTGCGCTTTTGTTTGCAGAAGCAGATTATGTCTGGGCTATTAGATTAAATCGGATCAGTTTGACGATGTTAGGCGTGTGGCCTGAAGAGTACAGAACCAAACAACAAATATTGCTGTCAAATATACATGTATTCGTTATGATAAATATAATAATCTGGAGCAGTTTAATTCCGACCGTACATTCGTTGCTCAATATTTGGGGTTTGGACATGATGTCAATGATCGACAATCTGCAATATACATTGCCACTTCTGATTGCGGTGACAAAGTTTATTATCCTGTGGAGAAAACAAAATGGTAAAGCGCGTAATAAATTTATATAGTGATCAATTATAAAAACAATTTTCTTTTTGACATATGTTATAAAGAATAGAATTGATTTTTGAAGATACTTCCCAGACAGCACAAAAAAATCGTAAAGACGAGATATGTAAAGATATATGTAGAAGATGATTCAAATAATTGAGACGCCTATATATTTAAATATCTTTACAACGTTTTTCGTACTCTTTTGTGCTGTCTGGATTGTTTGATATCTAGAGATTCTACCGCTGTTAAGAACAATGAAAAAGGATTGGTTGCAACCGAAGACAGTGAAAGAGCGAGACGTTATGATAAAGCGGGCGCGAATTGCGCGCGTATTCACAATATTCGGATATCTTATAATGATTGTGTCTTTGGGTTTGGCTGCGGGTCTTCCTGTTTTCGGCATTTCGATAAGATACTTGACAAACATAACGGATTCGGGCAAACTAATGCCGCTGCAAACGTACTGCAGCTTGTACGATCAAAACAAGAGTCCATTTTACGAGATAACATTTTCTCTGCAGTGTATTGCGCTGATTATAGTCGCTACTGTGTACACCGGAGCTGATAACTTCCTGGGTGTACTAGTTTTTCACGCGTGTGGCCAGCTGGAAAATCTCAAAGCGCGTATTCTCAACAATAAAAAGAGGTTTCAAGATTTTGAGAGTTTTTTGTCACAAAGTGTGCAAGATCATGTAAATCTTATCAGGTTGCATATTGTTATATCTTATTGATAATAAACAAACAAGTGTTCGTTAACAAGACTTCTTTAAAAATAATTTGCATACAATATACGTAAATATTTTTTATTGTTGATTTTTTCTTAAACTTAAAAAAAGAATCACATTTGTGTGTACTACTTTATTTATAATTACACATATACATATAATTAAGTCAAAGAAAAATTTAGTGAGTTCGATCTTCTCTAAATTAATCATCTAATGTGTGTGATATAAAATTTTCAAAGTAAAGCGATACAAGATGAGAAGTTTTTTTAATCTTATACGCAGATTTATCAATGCGATTGACAACATATTTAACATGATGCTGTTAGCGGCCCTCTTATACTTTGGCATGTTATTTACCTTTTATGGTTTTTTATTCGGTACCGTGAGTATTTTCTTCGGAATTATTTGTGCGTATGTATATTGATTCCAAAATTTTTGTACGTATTTATTTAGATGGTACATCAAGATAATTATTTCTCTATGTTTCGATTGGGTGTTGTTTGTGTGTTGTTCGTCAATTCGTTTGGACATACTTGTCTTTACTGCGTTGTCGGGGAATTTTTGGTCGTGCAAGTATATATATATATTATGTTTGATTTTGGCAATCAATTTTTCGCGAGTGCATATGAACCGAAATATTGACGAAGACGTTTTTTCCTATTTTATTTAATATCTTTTTTATTGCACGCGTCTATTGCGCGTGTCAAGTGCGAAGGAGTTTATGAAGCGGCATGTAAATACAAGTGGTACAATGTGGAAGCGAGGAGAGCGAAACATTTAATAATTATAATGATTCGAGCCAAAAAACCGCAATATCTCACTGCGTGCAAATTTTTTCCCATGACGATGTCTACGTTGTGCAATGTAAATTGCTTGTAATGTAGCACGTTTTCAAATTTCATATACGTTTCTTAATTACTTACACAAAGATGTAGATAAGTAAAAGAAATAGAATTTCTTTGATTTCAGTTGTTGAAGACCTCGGCTGGTTATGTATCAGTTTTACTGGCATATGGAAAATAAGAAGAGTGATAAACAAATAAAAGTTGTTATCTTGTAAAGTGCCTAATGTTAAATTGGTGATAAAAAGATATGACATATACTTATTATAAATTGTATACGTATAACTAATGTGTATAATAAAACTTTACATTATTATAAAGTTTTCATATGCGTTTTAACATTGTTGTTCGTTTCTACAGATAAAATATATTTATTTAATATTCATTTATACTAAATCATTTCTTGAAATTAATTATCTTCCTACTGTGTGATAAAAATTTCGAAGTAAACTGAGAAGTTGCAAAATGAGAAGATTTTTCAATTTTACGCAGATTCATCGATGCGATTGACGACATATTTAATGTGATGCTGTTAGCAGCGCTCTTGTACTTTGACACGTTATTTGCCTTGTTATAATTTTTTGTTCGATACTGTATTTTCTTCGGAACTTTTTGCGTGTATCTCGTTGCCTTCACTATTAATTCAATATACATGTTTATTATATGCATATTAATTCAAAACATACATGTTTATTTAAATAGTGCATCAAGATAATTATTTCTCTGTGTTTCGATTGAATGTTATTTGTGTTTTGTTCGTCAATTTGCTTGGACGTACTTGTCTTTACTGTCGGAGATATTTTAATCGCACAAGTAAACGTAGTATATATATATACATATATATATGTTACGTACGCTTTTGGCATTCGATTCGTCAAGTGCACAATCTGAATTGAAATCTTGATTAAGACGCTTATATATCCGATTGTATTTTACTTAATATCTTTTTTATTGCATGTGTCTGTTGCGCGTGTCAAGTGCAAATAAGTTTATGAAGCGGCATGTAAATACAAGTGGTACAACATAGAAACGAGGAGAGCGAAAAATTTAATAATTATAATGATTCGAGCCAAAAAACCGCAATATCTCACTACGTGTAAATTTTCTCCCATGACGATATCCACGTTGTGCAATGTAAATTGCTTGTAATGTAGCACGTTTAGTTTTTAATTAAATTTCGTTTAGTTTTTAATCACACGAAGAGAAAAGTAAAAGAAATATATTTATATCAGCGATTAGATGTGTTTCTTTTATGACGTTTTACATAACAATAATATACATCTATCTACATATGTTTTAGTTGTTAAAAACATCGACTGGTTATATATCAGTTTTGCTGGATAATAAAAAGAATATAAACAAATAAATGTACCCTGATGATGTCTGATGTCAAATTTGCGAGAAAGAAATATGATACAAGTAAATAATTGTAATAAAAATCGTAACGTAATAAATATCTTCTACAAATATTTTACAGTCATACAAAATTTATTTTTATATCGCGATATATGCACATTATTAATTTTAATGTTGGTGTCGGCTTTTGAGGCAAAGTATATATAAATACGTACATGTATGTTTCCTTTACGGAAAGAGAGAGAGATATATATACATTAATTTCTATTCTACACCTTTTCGAAAATTGCACTCTACGCCTTGTATTGGATTTGTTGCAATAAATTGAGACATTCCATGCGAAAACTCTGAATAAAAAAAAAACACAAGTGTCAACCTCGAATCAATATTGATTAATTTAACACGCACTTAAACGTGATCTTACTATCAGTGCAGATCGCGATAAAAATACAATAGCACAATTACTCGCAGCTGTGTACATATTTCGATCTGTATATAAATTGTATCATGAACTGTGGTCATTACTGGGTTTGTTAACGTTCACCGGGCGCGTTTTGTCAGACGGTACATCTACGCAATGAAGCTGTTGGCTACTCTCCTGATCGCATTCGCGGTCGCAAGTAAGTTGAATATTAAACATTTCTAGCGTCATTAAATTATTATTTAAATTCTTATTTATTATTCCATGTTCTATCTAATACATATCGCGTCTAAAATTCATACTTTATTATACGTAACAAATTTATATCTGCGATAGGATCCTTTGCGGATGAGCCAGAGAAGTTAGTAAATGGCACACCCACCAGCATACAGCGATATCCGCATTGTATCTCCATCAGAGCCTCGAACAGTCACATGTGCGGAGGTAGCATAATCAGCCCGAACTACATTCTTACCGCTGGTCATTGCGTAGATCCGTTACTATCTGACGCGACTTTGAGATCACGCGCAGTCGTTGTTAGTGGCACAACGTATCTCAATTCCGGTGGACAGTCTCACAAAATAAAAAACTTGTATATTCATCCCAACTACAAAGGTACCTCTGGTAGACCCGCTGGTTACGATATTGGTATAATCGAGGTACGAGATTTTTATTTAGATATATACACCGCGCTTATATTCTGTGATTTCATTTATTATTCGATCTCTTATTATTTATTTATGTAGTATTTATAATAAGTTTTTTGTTTTAAATTGCTGATATATAAATACGATGTTTTTTTCGATCGCAAGACTTTATATAGCTTACGTAGAAAATTATTTTCAGCTTGCTACTCCTATCCAATTCTCGAGCACCCAGCAACCCATCAAACTGCCAACGCGCGATGTGACGAAAGGCGAATCCGTCTCGGTTGTAGCCTGGGGTTCAACCGGGTTCAGAAAAAATATTCACAACGACTTGCAAAAGATTGACGCGCAACTCATGCTTCCGGGCCAGTGCCAGGAATATCATAAATCTTTGATGAAGGTCAGCCCATCCGAGTTCTGCACCCTCATCAGTTACGGAACCGGAGCTTGCAACGTACGTATCTTTTAATTATAATTTTGCACAAGGAAAACTATCACCTATTTGTGTGTGTGTGTGTGCGCGACAAATTTGTTTAATCATCTTTGTCATACGATTCCATCTTTTTTTTTTTTAACAACAGAATTTGTATTAGCGTATTAATCTTTGATTGCGATATAATTAATTTTTCCATCGCAGGGTGACAGCGGTAGCGGTGTCGTTCGAAACAGCGACGGAACAATTGCCGGTCTGGTCTCCGGTGGACTTCCATGTGCCAGGGGCTATCCGGATATCTATACCAGTGTCTACCCATTCCGTTCTTGGATCAAACAGATAACAAATCTGTAATACTACGCTTTTTTCGTATCTGTATACTCTTCGTATGTTTAATTCATACTCTTAATAAATATTAGCGAGCACACATCTCTCTCTCTCTCTCTCTCTCTCTCTTTTTCTCACATACTCCACACACGCGCGTGTATTAGAATCCGACCGACCGCGACTTGGAAATCAAAGAAATCGATCGCTCGCACGCGATCTTGCAACGTGTCGCAACTTAAAACATAAAAAAAAACAATATTTAAGCAGATCGAAACTAGTAAATTTCACATTTCAATCACCGAGCTCCGCGCCACGTTCTTCTTACGCTCTTCACCGCAAATGTGCAACGTGTACTGTGCACGTGCACGATTGAAAATACGATGTCGGGGAAATGCGCATGCTTCGATGTAAGGTCGAATAGAAGGGATACGACAAAAGGGAGTATAATATTAAAATTTGAAAACCTCCTCCTTTGTGTGCGTGAAAACTGTTCCGACGCTTCTCGCGTGACAGCTACGACGATGTATACGCACATAAACTTTAGAAAAACTTCGGACGTATATAGCGAGATCAGGGACGGCGGCAATTTTACCAGATATAAAATAAAAAATACTCAAAAATGCGACGACACGTTTCCGACGCAATAGCTACGACTGTACTTGTAGAAATTTAATTAAGAAACGCTAAGGATTCTCTTAAAAATATTGCAATCTTTGATCATTGATTTCGTTGTAACCGCATATAAATTCAAACATTTACAGGCTGCGGCCCTGTGTGTCACCTCTGTTGGTTCATTTTTTTACTCTTTCTCTGTCCTCACCTTTCTATGAGATCGCAACACCTGACGATTACAATAATAATCGTGACGCGTTGCACCATTTACACGGTTCTTTACACATTTACGTGAGAGTTCGCGTAAACTTCAATCGAAGTCGCGACATGCAACAGTTGGCGTTCCAACAAGTCTACGAGGGACGATAGACTTCTCGCACGGAAGAACGTCTCTACACAACTTCGAGCATGCACACCGAGTCGTCAGCGAGATACGCAGGTGCGCTTCTTGATCTTGTCACGCGAGTATAAAAATTATGTCGCACTTGACCAAGTATATATATATTTTTTTTTAATCTTTTAAAATGTCTCTTATTGCGAATTCGCAACTATATAGATAGACAAACAAATTTATATATTTTTTTTTGGAAGAATTGTGTTTCGCACATTGTGCGAAAACTACTTATCGAGAATCCGTGATGTTCCAGGTAGATTTCGAATGGGCGACCAAGTTAAATCGCTTGATGCTGAGCGTTCCCGGTATATGGCCGAATGTTCACGGAGATGCGCGCGATCGATTCCTGTCGGACTTGCGTGCGACGTCTTCCCTTCTGCTGTTCGTTTTCATCGGTTTGATCCCCGCGATACACTCGCTAATGATAATCTGGGGCGACATGATCGCGATCATAGACAATTTGCAATTCACCCTGCCGCTAATGATGATCATAATGAAACTGGTGACCATATGGTCGAAAAAAATGGGTACGTTATTCTTCGCTCGCGAGAATAAATTACGTTATTCGCATAACGTATCGGGGCGCCGGTGTGTGTTTCGTTAACGACGAATTGTTTTTATTTATTTATTTTTTTTTTATTCAAGATCTCGGGGTGCTTTTGGACATGATCGCCGATGACTGGTTGAAGGTCAAGACTCACAGAGAGCTGCAGGTCATGACGAAACGCGCGCGGGACGCGCGCGTTCTCACCGTGTTCGGATACGTTTTCGTGTTTCTAGGATTTGTTTTAATCGCGTTCCCACCTTGCTTCGGAACGTCGTTGCGATACGTAACGAACGTCACCGATCCGATCAGGATCCTACCTTTGCAAACCCACTACTTCTACGACAAGGATCGAAGTCCGTACTTCGAGCTGACGTTCACGGCGCAAGCTCTTCTGCTTCTGACGGCTTCCGCGTCCTACGTCGGCGTCGACAATTTGCTCGGACTGCTCGTGTTTCATCTGTGCGGTCAAATGGAAAATCTCAAAGAACGACTGATCAATATGAGACAATTCGAAACCTTCAACAGCGGTCTCGCGTTTATCGTCGAGGATCACATACGCCTGATTAAGTTTCGTGTTATCTTTTTGATGATTTTTTGATATATTTGCTTTTGCCCAATCAATTAATATACGAATCGAACGTTCGATGAATTTTGGATCCATTGCCATTTTTATTTTTTTTTTCCCGCCAGATATTTCAATATCGTCGAGAACACGTTCACTCTGTTGCTGCTCGGTCTGCTGCTTTACTTCGGCGCCATATTTTGTCTCTACGGATTTTTGTTCGTCGCGGTGAGTTAAAAAAAATAAAGAAAAACTTCAGATCATAACGCAATCTCCGGTCCGCGTAATTCTACAAATATTCGTAAAAAAATTCTCTTACCCCGTCAAGCTAATCAAGAAATAAGAACCTAAGTTGTTGTTAACTATACACGTTATTGCTTAGATACTGACCGAGGGAAAACAAATGTCTGTGATGCAGTTGGTGTACTTGATACCCGTTGGATTAAACGTCTGCGGTCACATGTGTTTGCATTGCGTGGTAGGTGAAATACTGGTGGCACAGGTAAGTATCACATTATCATGAAAAATCACGTGTCACACATTTAAAAACGCGAAGAAATTAAAAAAGAAACAATCTTGAGAATTCTTGTGTTACATGTATTTGCGGAGTGCGAAAGTATATATCGGGCGGTGTACAATTGCGAATGGTACACGTTGGAACCGGAAGAAGCGAGAACGTTAATTTTACTGATGATCCGAACCAATAAGCCATTGTACATCACAGCCGGGAAAATGTTTCCTATGACGATGTCGACGTTTTGCAACGTAAGTTTGCACAACGTTGCGATTTTGAACATTTAAGTCAATCGATCACGTGGAGTATTTAAATATATCGTACAAATTTCAGTTGATAAAAACGTCGGGCGGCTATATATCGGTTTTACTTGCCAAGCAAGACTACTAACTTGAGTTTTGAAAATAAAATGAAAAAATACGCACGTGTGTGTGTGTGCGTCAATCATGTGTTTTACATATTTTTATCGGATAAGTAATAAATTATGTAGAAATATAGTATGAAATATATTAATTGTGTTAATTACATATTTTTTTTTTACAGCACAAGAATCTCATTTATCAAAACTTTTTTATTGTCATATACGAGTATATTACATTTAAAAAAACTATAAAACATTAAAAAATGCAACTTGTACGCACAAGTTTACAAACTGTTTAAAAATTGTTGAAAACTGATATCCTTATTTCGAAAGAAATTTTTTTTCGAGGACTTTCATGTTTCTCAGATAATTACATTTTAAATCTGCAGCCGAACTAATCGGTTTGAATTACCCGTTCAATAAAATCCGTAAAATAGATAACATTAGTGAAAACGTCGGGAAAACCGATTGCACAGGGTTTTGTCCACGAGAATACGCCCACTAACGTATTGTTGTAGACCAAAGGATTGCCGCTATCACCCTGCAAACAAATAATATTCTTTTTTAATTTGCAATTAATAAAATGACATTTAAATCTTTGACACATAGAACGTATCAAAAAGTTGTTCGTTCTTGAAGTACAATATTATTTATAAAATTGTGTAACCTAACAAATAAACGTTACTTCCTGTCGCTTACCTTGCAAGCACCAATGCCTTTTCTCTCGAACGTACAGATCTGAGAATCGAGAATGGTAAAGTTCTTGTAATATTCTTGACACATCTTGTTGTCGATGATCGGCAACGAGAGCTTTTGCAAATTTCGTGACAAGAAACTAAACGGACGAACCCTACCCCATCCGCTAATTACCGCACGTTCTCCATCGGGAGTCTTACGAGTTGCCAAAGCGATTGGCAATTGAGACGCTGACACGCAAATTTGTTCAGCGAGCTGAAAAACATTAATAACAAAGATCGATCAATTTGAAGTAGAAAACATATATATAAGCTCGCGTCGTGAATTATTTCAAATTAATCAAATCTCACCGTGATTACAACTATATCGGCCGTCCAGGATTCTTCCGGGCCGTAGCGATAGTCAGGGTGGCACGTAATCGACTTGACAGCGTGTTTTTCACCCTCTGTCAATTTAACACTCCCGGTGCGCACACTGAGTTCTTCGGAAGGGTAGTCGATCAGGCCGCACACGCAATGCGCCGCGCTCAGAACGTGCTTGTCGCTGATAAGCGTGCCGCTGCAGATGTGCAAGTCGAAGTATCTTAGGGATGCCTGATAAGGAAACTCGGATTCTGCGGCGTTCGTCCCACCGACCAAACGTCGCACACGAATCGCCTGAGTTTCTAGATAATATTTAAAAAACTTTGCTTTTTCTCTTCGTTAAATACTTTTTTATCTCACAAAAAGAAAAAAGTTACTTAAATCTTTTCCTTACCAGATACATGTACTTTAATCGCATTTTTGAGGTCAAGTGGTTTTTATCAATAATTTTTTGACAACTGTTCTAGCAAGTTCCGACGACGGGATTGTTTTGTTTTTTTTTTATTTTTTCAAAGCACAATAATAAAGAACGGAAACGATCTTTGTGACAATGAGATAAATGACGTTTTGTGATACGGGTACGTTTCTTTCAGCCTTCACTTACCGTAGTTGATAACGTCCAGCGTTAAAATGATTAGCAACCACAGAGCAGTGAAGTCGACCGCCATTATTTATGTAGATTACTGTGTGAAGAAACAACACTTTAACTTTTGAACGAAGATCGAGTTTACATGTGAGTAGTGTCCGTATAAAGTTTGTGACTTGGCAGGAGAACCACCGCGATGGCAATGTCAGGTGAAAATGCGATATCTTCGTTCCACGGGCGTGTATCGCTCATTAGATGCGCGCAACATAACTTAAGCGCTGATAGCGCATCTTACAAAATCAAGAACAAAAGAAGATGTTTCGGTTGAAGATAACGCTCCGAAAAAAGAGGTCGGTCTAAGTAAACATGGTGGGGAGGGAGGGGATAATTAGGTGACAAATGCGCGGACGCTACTGTTATGAATCTTCGGTTTTTTTTTTGTGTGCGAGGGTTTTGCCGTTTCATTCGTATTTCATTTCGCGGAATTACACACACACGCAGCAGTTCTCATTACTTTGATTCCTCCGTAATATCCTTGCGTGCTTTGACTTCGTCTAATTGACGTGTGCGTGTGTATATATATGTATATATAATATATGCGCTTACTCATTACATTAGCAAATGAGTGAATCACAATTCGAACACGTTACGAAAATCTCAGATTGCACGAAAACTTCTCGAGACAATAAAACTGATAATTTCCTCGTTAATTTATTGTTCATTTATTTCTTTTTTACTTTTCAACAATTATTTTCTACGATGCAAATAATTATATAAATTAGATTCGCGAAAAAAACGTTGAAGAAAGACGCAAACTAATAATGATACTTATCTCTCTTTTACATAATACACACACACACACACACACACATACACCGTACAGGTAACTTAGTTCTATATAAAAAAAATAAAAAAAAAAAAATAAAATGTGTCTCTTACCTGAAATAAAAATAACTTTTAATTCGGCATGTGTGTGTTTAGCGTTCGGTTCTTCTTGGACGAGGATCGGACGGCGAATATCAAAAACGCTTAGGTTTGCACGAGAATATTTATCCGATTCGCGCAATTGTCGCACGCACGAATGCGCAGATATGTATGAGAGATATACGCGCGCTTGTGTGCGCACGTATTTGTGTGTGTGATATGTGTGCGCGCTCCGCGTATACGTACGGTTGCATATATATACACGCACACGTGCGTGACGCGTGACATTCGTGTGCGTGACAGTCGGTGCGCGCGCGCGCGCGCGCAAACGTTTGTGCAACACACATCCGTCATATCTACGCCAACTTTAGGTTGCACCCCGTCGGTCATCGCGATTTTTGGTCGTCGACATGTCCGTTCTTTCGTGAGTTGACGAATCGAGAATCGCGGTTCCCAGAAAGCGCGACAATCTGGCGAAGAAGAACCCGTTTCCCGTCGTAATCCGTTCAGTTATCCATCGGTGACGCGCGACATTATCCGAAGAAGCGTCATCGCAACCTATATTTTCGTATTTCATGGAGACGGCCATGTAACCTATGCTGTGAGTATTCGCACATTCAAGAAAGACCGATCTCGAGTCTGCGGATAATTTTAGTTTTTTTTTCCCCGTGCGATAACAGATTCGCAATCGTCGAGGCTGTCGCCGAAATGTCCATCCGCACTGTGTGTACGTCCGCGTTCGCGAACCTGTTACCGCGCGGGTTTTTGAGGTTATGAGAGAATTGTCTTTTATGTAATTTCTGGCTGCACCCATCGTGTACAACGCTTTTTCCTTGTCTCTTTTGTACATGAATTTGTTTGTTTTTTTTGAACATCATGTTGATCACGCATCGTGGAACGTACGTAAGCGAATAAATTGATTTCACTTTCAGAGTGAAGTGTATAGCAAATGGAAGATTTTAAGGTGAAAGATGAACCGATGGATGCATTAGCCATAGACAGTCAGGTTATGGTAAACTTTTTGTATGAAACAGCAGCAGATATATCGCTCGGTGTTATTCAGGATCTAATGTAAGGATTACTTTAAGGACGAGAATATTGTGAGCGTTGTGCTTAAGGAAGAACCAGGTGACAAATTTGATCCTGACTACATGGAGGATATTTGCTCTGGTACTTTTGAGAAGGGCGCTTTATTTTTGCCTATCGAAAACAATGAGGTGGATTTTTCCAATGAAATGGTAAATGTGCAACACAATCTCTAAAAACCTCTTCGCCGGTTATATTGATGTAATCAATAAATAAGTGCTTCATGCATTTTATATATATATATATATATATATTTTTTATATATATATATCTGTGACCTGTTGCAGGTAAAGCTGGAGTTGGAAGGTGAATCTACTAGCCATCAAAACTGGACAGGTCCACTAGGTAATAATTTGTGCGATAAAGAAGATGGTGTAATGCAACGATGCTTGGCTAATGCAAATTTCATACAAACGCAAGATTCTGACAAGCATCATGGATTTTGTCAAAACGGACAGCAACCGAAATTTTATAAAATCCAATGTTCAATTTGCAAGAAATGGTTTCTGAACAATGATTCTATGGTGACACATTTAAGAATGCATTGTAGTGGAAGTCAGTGCGAGGTTTGTCAGCAAACCTTCCCCGATAATACTAGCTTGCATGCTCATATGTTAACTCACGTCGGAATGAGTCCGCTGGAGTGTAACATTTGCCAAAAAAGATTTGCTTACAAGTGGAATTTGAGAAGTCACATGCAGTTGCACATATTGGACAAGCCATATGATTGCGATGCTCTGCAACAGGCTTTTATGAAGCGTGCGAGTTTGAACGAGCAGATGATGCACATGGAAGAAAGACCGTTTGAGTGCGACATGTGTCACATGACGTTCAAAGAGAAAATTAATCTGAATCGGCATATGGTCAGCCACACGACGGACAGACCCTACAAATGCTCGATTTGTTATGAAGGTTTTAAAGAGAAGACAAAACTAAATCTGCACATGTCTATTCATACTGGGAACAAGAATTTCAAGTGTACATTGTGTCATAGATCATTTGCTCAGAAAACGGCACTCAATAATCATATGCTGGCGCACAGCGGTGAGAAGCCACACGCTTGTAACATATGTGAGAAAACATATAAGAGGAAATCGGAATTAATCAGACACGCCATGGTCCACACCGGCGAGAGGCCGTACGAGTGCAAAGAGTGCTTGATGACTTTCCGCGAGAAGGCTAAATTGAATTCTCACATGTTGGTCCATACTGGTGAAAAACCGCACGAATGTCATATTTGTCACAAGGCGTGCGCGCGAAAATCCGACTTGAACAGTCACATGCTTCTGCATACTGGCGGTCAGTACGATTGTAAGGTGTGCGACAAGATTTTTACCAGGAAGTCGGATCTGAACAGACATACTCTCATACACACCGGTGAAAAGCCGTACGCGTGCACCATGTGCGACATGGCGTTTAGAGAGAAAACGAGATTGAACTCGCACATGCTCATACACACGGGCGATAAGCGGCACGCGTGTCACATCTGCCAGAAAACGTTCAAGGAAAAATCATCGTTGAGAAAACACATGTTAAGTCATACCGGCGACAGGCCGTACGAGTGCTACGTATGTCACAAGGCTTTTACGCAAAAGAGTACACTGAACAGTCACATGTTGGTTCATGCTATCGAGAGACCTTTAGAATGTTGTACTTGTCAAAAAATATTCAAAGATAAGGCGGGGTTGAAAAAACATTTATTGATGCATGTTAACGAGAAAACCCACGAATGTCTTATTTGTATGAAAAAATTCGCCCATAAAACAGCATTAAATAATCACCTATCCACAAGCCACATATCCTAACTACATGGATCTAGTCTATTACGGCTTTCTGTTTCCTTACATTGAGCACCGTATCTTTGTAGTTGTATAGCTATTTCCACAATTACTCCTATATCTGTTTTATATGCCGATAGGTCCAATGAAATCGTATTTTTTCCTGTATATGGACAAATAATAAATTAATTTGTAAGTAAAAAATATCGGCACTCATTTTGTATATTATGATATTCCTATTGTGTAAAACGAGAGTAAGAGAAAAACTCAGATTTTATAAAATTTTAACAAAAGAGAGAAAGTACAATCAAAAAACGAAAGAATAATTATTGTTAAATTGGAAAAAGAGATAAGAGTATACAACAAAAGACAAAATAAAGTTATTGCATTTTATTTATTAACTATATATATATATATATATATATGAGACAAAAAGAGTCATATTAGTGTAATTTCGAATTTTTCTCGTAGTTGATTGAGAAGTGAAGAGAATTCCGAGTTTACTCATGCCTGAAACAACACGTATTACGAAATTTATATAGATATAATTTTTCATATGAACTTAAGTAATATTAACAAATTGCAAAGTGAAGAAACTGATTTATTCATTGTGACTACTACTGTGCTATATATCTGTTCCTTGTTTCTTGAAAATATACTTTACAAATGAACAACATATGTGTTTATGTACTTTATTTTGATGTAAACTATAAAAGCAGAGTTCTTCATTACTTGATTTAATGTTGCATTAAGAAAATATATGAAGTCTTGATAAAAAAAGTTTCGCCTATCATGTATAGATAACGTTTGATGGAAATTTAATACAAGCATATCATGAAAGAGATTTATTAGAGACTTTTCATTGAAAGTTTTTTTTTATACTAAAATATTTGTTTACCGTTTGGAGCAGTAACTTACATTTGTACAATATTCCATAGCCTTTCCTGGATTGAGTTTAGTTTATTATATCCGTAGGATTGTCTTCCATAGAATCATACCCCATTACTCTCATCATACCCCCTCTAGGTCTCATCATACCCCCTCGGCCTAAATTAGATATAAAAATTATTTATACTTTATTGTAAACAATCCAATCTTTTTTATAGAATCAGCATTGCATAATATATTTAAAAAATTAAACAAAATAAAAGTAATAGTTTATCTAAAAATGTTAGGATTGTTCTTAGTTACACTTTATAATATAGTAATAAGTGACTGCTTTTCAACTATTTTTAAATATTATATATATATAATTATCATGCGCGACTTACGCATCTGTGCGCTGCAAAGTTGAACTAGTATTGCTACTATGAGTATAATCAGTACAGCAATCTTCATGATGACTGTGGCAGAGTGTAGAACAAAACAGAAATTCTCCTCACTGTACAACTTAGTAGAAACAAATGAATCTATATACGATTACAGTGTTCTTTTATATGTTTTCACAACAAGCATAATTGCTTTCGCAAGAAAAATTTTCGAATAATAGCTTGATTGCTCATACATATCTGGTGGTTGATTATTGACTTGTTTGAAACATTACAAGCCAAATATGATATCATTTATATAAATATAAAATTTTATTGCATTTTTCTCTATTTACATTTATAAAAAAATTGTATAATAAATATATCTGACAAAATTACTTATTAAAATATTCATAAAAATAACGTATATTAATAATTTTTTTACGGATCATCCTATATAGGAGAATCATGCAATTTTACAAATCGATGTGTGTAATTATTGATCACATAACAGATAATTAGTGTTTGGAAAAATAACTTTACATATTTCTAGGAAGTTTGTTTGACTGGAAACATTTTTATTTATTATTGAATCGTGATTTGGACTGCGACAAAAAATGTAAAAACGCTATAAATATAAAAATATTTATATAAAAGCTTTAGACACATAAAAAAAGATCAAGCATTTTGATTATTATTATTGATGTAAGTATACGCATGAGGATTATATCGCGTAGTCTGTAGTTATACTTTATTTGATATTTGCTCGAAATAATTATCCTTTTACATTGATAGGATGATTTCCTGACCAACCTGTAATAGTAATACAATATATTAGTAAAAAATATTTATTTAATATCTTAATTGTGACGTATTTCAAATGTATTTGAGTGCACGTATGAACAGGTATTCGGAAAAAGAATTCTGGATGGAAACGTACTTCCGGAACTGCTACTAGCAAAGGCAGAAGCGCCACTAGAAGCCCAAGCATTCGGTACGTTTTGATTTTGCGCTCCAGCAGAAGAAGGCCGATTTCCACCCTGGCCAAAGTCGTTACCAAGTCCTAAGAACATGAGAAAATTGGTAAGAAATAGTTTATTAAATTTTTATGTAAACTTAAAAGTACAAACAAACAGCTCTCCCTTCCTCATCGGAAAAAGCGTGTTCTTAGATGTATGACGTGATAAATTAATCATGTTGTTATCAAGTTGTATAACAGTTTTTGTAGTCGGGAGAACGGAAATGGACATCTAACCGGCGCTTACTATTAATTAAAACGTTGCTATCTTTGATTTATGCATCATTGTATTATGGTAGACGCATCAATCACAGACGCGTATTTTCAATCTCCTTCGTTTATAACCGCAATTATCTTATCCTTGATGTATTTCCCGGTGTAAGCTGAGAAGTACGTTTTCTCATCTCTTATACACGCTTCGGTTAAAAAAAAAAAAAAAACGCCACTACTTAAATGTATCTGCAGAGACGTTATATTAGCCGTGAGAAAACTTTCATTGAAGTATGATCTACTTGACAGCACGAAGATACATGAGTATCAAAGAATTATGAACGCCTCGTTGATTTGATTTACAGTTGGCCGCTTCTTCCTACGTCTCGTTCGCTCTAATCTTAATCTTGTGTGGCTTGTTAACACATAACAAATACTACATGGGTATCTACTAATATATAGAACTATCTACGTTTACTCTTTTTGACGCGTCTTTGTAAAATACAAACCTGTGTTGGCGAAACTGGAAGCTTGAGCGCTGCTAAATGCTCCAGCGAAAGCTCCCGCGTGGCCTAAATTACCTCCGATTGATCCAGGATGACCGGAACCAATACCACTTCCAGGATTTCCGGCACTGCCAACGATTCCTGGAACTCCGCTGCTTGTTCCAACACTTTGCGGATTATTACCATAACTGCCGCTGTCAGACGTTCCACAACCAAAAATACCCAACTTGCATTGTGCCGGACTCGGAGAATTATTTCCTGTAAAGTAAAATCCATTATTAATTTCCATTGTGTACGGCGGAATTCTTCCATGAGAAACTTTTGTGCTTGCTTAATCACTACCTCCTGATGTTCCCGGTACAGAAGATCCATCAGGTCTGCCGTATGATGAACTACCCGGACTGCTGTTTACACTACCGGGAAATCCAAGAAAAACGTTTCCTTCAGGTTTCTTTTCTCCGAAGGGAACTTCGTTCGGATTATTTCCGATGTTTCCTCCCGCACTATCCAAGAAAATATTTCCTTGACCGATAGGTTTGGTATCTTCCTCTCCATAAGGAATTACATTTCTATCAGTAGCAGAAGCGCTGCTATAGGCAGGCTTAGGATTATTCGAACTAAAGTCGAGAAAAGGATTTCCTTGACCGAGCGGTTTAGTTGTTGTCTCACTCCACGGACGTGAAACATCGCTTTGAGGTCTGCCTATAAAATATATATTTTTACAGATCACACTTATATAAGAGTAAAATTTCTTTCTAACAATTAGTATATCTTATCAGTACCTGCTCCGTATAAAAATGGATTTTGAGGATTCCATTTCTCAAGACTTTCTGGGGATGAACCTGGTCCATATGCTTCTGCAATACTTGGAACATTGCCATCACCAGTTCCCGCGGGATAATATGTTTTGTTAACGCCACCTACTGCTTGATTACATCCGTGTATTGTTGGTGTATTATCTTTTCCGCTGCAACCGCCACAATTATAACTTCCGCAATTGCTGTTTCCTCCATGTGAACTAGTGACTTCTCCACAACTTCGGCATCCGCTTTCATATCCAGGCTGCTTCCCTGGCCACGTTCCACTTCCGGTTCCTGGATAATTACTAGGATGAGATTTAATTCCAGATTGTCCACTAGGCCAAGTTCCAGGTCCGCTTTCGAGAGGTTTATTAGGCGTAGATCCGTCTCCTGGTTTGCCGTATGATGGTCTATTATAACTTCCA